TTGATTTATGAACATGGTAGCTATTACAATCGGTACCCCTTTCCCATTAGAAGTGAGCTCGCCGCCACTTACACACCGAACAAATCATCTCGGCCCCTGAAAATAATAACTACGTCAATCCAGGTCACCTCCCCATCCCTGCTGCAGTAACCTCATTTCCCACCTCTCCACTCCACTTCGCATGTGGTCTTCCGACTGTCTAATGCTGACGCCAATGCCAGGCGAAGGCAACAATCACCACTTGGAGAAATATTGTCAGGTCGAAGTAGGATCTTATCATCCTCTCATTCTGGCGTGCTGTCTGATACCTTCTCATGGGTTGATTTGGCAGTTTGATGTGTGACGTCTCACGTTGTCTCGTGTAAGAAAAATGTGCCTTCTCAATTACTGCAGTTTCGCCTATTTCCAAGGCAGAAGTTTGCCTTGTCGATCAGCTAATTTTGCCCTATCGAGTAGACTTCATCCACATTCATTTGGTCTACAGTAGGTGGGAATGTCCATTTGCAATCCATCATGCACAAACAAAGCATGCATGGTCTTGGGTGGTTGAAGTGTGCCTGCTTTGCGAGTGTGGATTGGGTAGTGGGGTGGTGGGCCAGTCGGCCACTGGGTTGGTCGGACAGTGGGAAGTGGTTCAGTTAGGCGACAACAACTGACAAGGCACAATATCCATTTCCTATGGCAAGTCAGTGAGCGACCACGTAAAAACCGATGCATTCCTTGAAGCCGGGTGAGAAAATTGAGGAACAGGTAAGTGGATGCATGTTAATGCATTTCATTTGCAACATCGACACTTGGTGTAGATGTAACCTACTGGTTTCATCATCACCCATAGCAAGCACGACTGCATGTGCCTTAACGCCTCCATCTTCGCTCACTTGAATGCATGAAGGCAGACAACGCCTCATTCCTTTCAAGAACACGCTGTCTGCATGAACACATTGGTTGAATCAAGTTCCCTAGACCGTTGTCTCTCAGATGGTGCTATTGTCAGTGCATGCCACACCCTACCCAAATGTCGTGTGACACTCTGGAACCCATTTAAGCTCAAACCGCAAGATGCACGAGCTCGCTTTACGTCTATTATCTTATTACAACTGCTATTTGATTGTCTGATTTGTCAAAAA